TGTGTGTGTGTGTGTGTGTGTGTGTGTGTGTGTGTGTGTGTGTGTGTAGGCTTTGAGGTGCAGGAGGAGGGATACTTGGCCAAAATCATGGTGGCAGAGGGAACTCGGGATGTTCCCCTGGGAGTGCCGCTCTGCATCATTGTAGAGAAAGAAAGTGACATCGCCGCCTTCAAGGATTATGTAGAAACTGGAGTGACCGAGGTTTCCACACCGGCTCCTGCACCAGCGGTGAGACACTCGCTGAACAAATGTACCCAAATACTCCCAGAAACACCCTGAATTTGCCTCTATTTAGATGTATGTGATTTCTTTGACTGTGATTTGTGAGCGTTGTGTGTTTTATGTTCCAGGCTGCAGCTCCAGCTGCTGCTGCAGCAGCACCCAGTTCTGCTCCCACAGCCGCCGCCCCGGCAGCACCCAGGAAAGGTCGCATGTTCGCCAGCCCGCTCGCCAAGAAACTCGCCGCCGAGAAAGGAATTGACCTGGCACAAGTCAGCGGTAAGTAACCAAGACGCAGGTAGTGACGAAGATCCTTATTGGAAGAAGATGACTTATTTAGATCCAGAGAAAGCAATAGTAAGATGTTTGATGGGCTGTATAACGTGTGTTCAGGCTCTGGTCCTGATGGGCGCATCACCAGGAAAGATATTGACAGCTTTGTTCCACCAAAGGCTGCACCCGTAAGTGACGCGCACACTTATTCTAATTTATTCATCCTGTGTAATCATATGTAGCAACTTTACATTTCTATTGCTGATTATTCATAATCAAATCTTTGAATATAAGAATGTAGTGCTCAAACAATTTGCTGTTTAATTGAAAAATCATTTTGTCATTCGTGAAGCAGAAAATTACACTTTCATTGTTTTTGTCCTCTAAAATGAAAGACAGTGCTGCTTTTTAAGGTTTCTTTGGTTTAAAACAAAATCTGCAATTTGAAGACCTTGAGCTGTGTGACGTTGTGAAGAACACTTTTCAATTTCAGACGTTCTGAACGTTCTCGTGTCCTGCTGTCTGTGCCTCAGAGTATTGTTTTAATGAAATGATTTCCGTTGGCAGGCCGTAGCTGCTGCTCCAGCTGCAGCCGTAGCTCCGGCTGCTTTTACACCGGCTGCAGCTCCTGCTGCACCAGCTGGGACCTTCACAGACATCCCGATCACCAACATCCGCAAGGTGAGAGTAAACACACTCACCTGACTGTTGGACGAGGACTTCCTCTCCTCTGATAGCAGTCGGGTATAATTCCTGACTTGGTGTTAGTGTGAATGCTGTGAGGCAAACACCCTGAGGGGGCTCTCAGAGTGTAGCTCTGTTATCTTTGACTTGTGCTTCCACATTCTGCGCTGACGACAGGCACTACTGCATTTATCAACACAGGCTCAGCTAACGCACCGTATTCCTCTCCATGATGAATTATGGATCAAAGCTTCAGTGCACAAATGCGTCTCTCCTGCAGGTCATCGCTCAGAGGCTGATGCAGTCCAAACAGACGATTCCCCACTATTATCTGTCCGTAGATGTCAACATGGACCAAGTGCTCGAGCTACGGAAAGATCTCAATGCTGTGAGTTTTTATTTATATATATATATAGATGCGCAACAGAACGACAGACAAGAAACTCCTTATTTTTCCTTGAAGTAGAATGATTATTTCCTGTGTCTCTAAAACCACCTCGCCTCCGCTCTGCAGGAGGTGAAAGCCCAGAATATCAAGCTCAGCGTGAATGACTTCATCATCAAAGCCAGCGCTCTGGCCTGCCTCAAGGTACCCGAGTGCAACTCCTCCTGGATGGATACGGTCATCCGCCAGTGAGTAAACACACGTGAACAGGCACCACCAAACACGTGTAATATACAGTAAACAGGGAATGTGTTCTCTTGGATCAGATCTGGCATGAGCTGGTCAGAGTACACAAACATAAACTTATCAATGATTCATCGATCAAATCTTCTAATCTAGTAACCTTTGCGTCTTTACATTTTGTCTGCAGTTGATTGCTGGATATTGGTCTTTAAAAGTGTAACTGCACTATTGTGCCAGTAGGAGGCACTCAACTCACAGACATTTGCTTTTCAGTTAAGAAACAAACTTCACCGTGAACACATTTCTGTGCTTATCGTCTGTATTGACTTCAAACGTTTCCAGGAATCATGTGGTGGACCTAAATGTAGCTGTGAGCACAGCCAGTGGTCTCATCACGCCCATAGTCTTCAACGCCCACACCAAGGGACTGGCTGCCATCAGCTCCGATGTGTCGGCCCTCGCTGCCAAAGCAAGAGAAGGCAAACTGCAGCCGCACGAGTTCCAGGTACGACACAGGATCTGATTCTGTTGAGAAATGTCATTTTTTAAATTATAAGTGTTGTGGAATGATTAGTTTTATGCAGATTTCATCTATCTAGTGAAGCGGCAAATTGAAACGGTCCTCGTCAACGTGTTTGTTTCCACCAGGGAGGTACGTTCACAATCTCTAATTTGGGAATGTTTGGCGTCAAGAACTTCTCTGCGATAATCAACCCCCCTCAGGCCTGCATCCTCGCCGTCGGGGGCTCGGAGAAACGTCTGCTGCCTGCCGATAACGAGAAAGGGTCAGTGTCGTGACTACAATACTATGTAATACATGTTGGACATTTTGCATTTCAAATCTGACGCAGTGTGCGTGTTGGATCTTGCAGGTTTGACGTCGCCAGCATGATGTCGGTGACGCTGAGCTGCGACCACCGGGTGGTGGACGGAGCCGTCGGCGCTCAGTGGCTCGCAGAGTTCCGCAAGTTCCTGGAAAAGCCCGTCACCATGCTGCTGTAATTGGACTGAACTGCCGTTAAACTGCAGCAACGGGCAGCGGCCTCTCGCGGAAGTGATCCGATTGGTCTGAACTGGTCTGGATCCTCCTGTGATTGGCCTGCTTGCCACCAGGTCACTCCCAGTTACCCTGACGGGGAAGAGGCAGAACTTACACCGCTCACCTGTCTCTCTCTCTCGCTGTCTCTCTCTCTCTCGCTGTCTGTCCTGTCTGTCTTTCTCTCCTCTCTTACTCATACACTATTTATTGAAGCCCCTTTTCAACAGAACAGAATTAGGTTTATTTTATCCTAGAGTAGAGACCGGTCACATGTCACTAAAACATTGAGACTGTTTTCCAAAGGGAAGAGTTACATGTCCAACCAGCAAACGTATTTATCCCAAAAAGTGTGTGTGTGTGTTTCTACACGTTTTAGTCTGAGTTTGTGTGAATGTGATAAAGACAATGAGAAGTGGAGCTCTCTGTTGGTTCCAGTCTTTTGAGTAAAGGGTTGTGATGTTGGTGGATGGAGCTAAATGTATGTTAACTTTGAGACACAGTTCAGATCCACACACACACACACGCACACAAACCTGTCCCTGTTCAGTGGCCACACACACACACAAACACAGTTGAAAGGTTGAGTGTGTTTTCTGTTGGTTGATGCTAGAGTGTGTATATAACACAGTGCTGTGTATATATACTGTAAATATATATAAACGTTGGTGAGTTGTTTGGTTGAACGGAGCTGTGTTGAGGCCTCACCATATAACTTAATATCTCTAAAGTCCTGAAAGATAACAAACACTCCTAAAGGAAGGAATCAACGGTTTTGCCAATTTATTGTCTAGTCTCAGACACTTCCCCTTAGAAATATTCTATATTTCACTGCTGCAACGCACAAAGCTGGTGCTGGATGTTATCTGTTTGAATAAAGTGGAAGAAGTCAATCTTGTGTCATATGCTCTTTGGTTTTGTTTTTTATAAACTGACTTATTGTAAGAGCTCAGTTTAAGCTCAGTGTGATCACACAAACTCTAAAACATTTTGGAAATTTGTAAAACAAATATTTCAACTAGAACTCCCAAGAAACTGCCCTGCCGAACATTTCCCTGTTGCAACATATAAAATCACCATAGTAACATGTATTTAAATGAATAAAGGAAAAGAGAAAGGTGACATAATAAAAGGTCAAATTTGAAAACCTGAAGAAGTCCCATGTTGCTTTGCGGCTCTCACCTCAAGAAACCTTCTTTTAGTCCAGCCTGACTTTAATCTTTAGCTGTTGTGTTTATTCAAGTGAAATATTATTGATTTCATTTCCTCGCCCCATTTCTGCTCCAACGCTCCACTAATTAGTTTTGGTTAATGGCATTAGTGGACCGCTGTTGCCAGTAAGCCGTGTATAACTCCACCGTTCAGTCATTATCACAATCATCACAATGCTCATTTGTGTAAAGCAATTTCCTCGTGTTCCCATATGTGGCTGATTAAACTTTTATAGGTCCACTGACTCCAATGTAAACATGTGACATTTGGTTGAGGCTGGAGAAGCTAAACTACTCTGGAACATATTTGGATGATCACTGGAGGACTCGGCAGACAGATCGACTTAAGTGGGTCATGAATAACTAACACATTTTATGCAAATCCATGATAAAGCAGCCGTGGCAGCATTTTGTTTAGCCCATAGGTCATAACTAAGATGATGTCCTTATCACCAGATGACTTGCTGCAAGTGTCAAAAACTAATCTTTTCTTTTTTCCTCACACCAGTGACAACCCTCCTTAGCTGCCTCGGATCCATAAATCACTCTGCACGGATAAGTGTGAAACACATTTTATTTTTTTTAAAGAACCAAAGAGCTGATTTGGGACTCTGCGGGGTTCTGTTACCCAACTGCAAATCAGGGCAAAATTAGAAATGATAGATGATGGTTTATTATCTCCAGTGTCAGAATAACATGTCAGCAACATTGAAAGTACTCTAAATTGATTAGTTTTAGTTAGAAATACCTTTTTTCATATTTCCCGGAGCCTAAGATATTGAATTAATAGCGTTATGTTACAAATTAATTGATGGATTATGATTTTTGTTTTTGTAGATTTCTGTCGGTTTTCTCTACCGGTCCTTTAATCATTCCAGCAATTGTGAATAATACTTCCCGTCCTTAAAGAGAGACTATGTAGCTTTTGTAAAAAAAAAACAGAAATAACACAATTCTCCTCTTAGAAAAGTTGAATTCACAAGCAGTGAAAGACACACTTACTGTATTTACTGTAATTACTGTGTTTTGATATTATTGTCTACTTGTGTTACATCACATTTGAACATGCTTCAGATAAACATTTAAATTATTCTATCACAAAAGTAAAACTATTTACTGAATCAAGAAATTGTTGGGGAATGCATCCGTGCCAACAAAAGCTAGCCGCTATGCACTACATCACCCTGCGGCATTATGGGCATTATGCCTGATAGTGTTTTCTATGGAACAGCTGCAGTAATTTATGTTTCACTAACTAATTAGACTACAAGCTGACCCAGTATAGCTCCCAGCACGGTAAGTTTCAACATTAATAAGCCTATATGAAAGATTCTTATCTGACAATTTTACAAACAGACGGAGAGAATAAAGCGAGAGTGAAAATAGAGGAGGGTGCGGTTGGTTGTCCTGCTCAATAGATCACACATGCATGGCTGGTTTTCTTTGGTCACCAGCTCGTACACACAGGGGGGGGGAAGCTGCCTCTCCTCTCTGCTTCCTCTCAGCTATGGGTTCTTCTGGAAGATGGATGCTCTGGACCCTGTGTGTGTGTTTCACTGCTCTGGAAAATGGTGAGTAGTCCCGCATGCCGTACGAGGCTTTGACGCAAATTCAGGAAGACAAGATGATAAATATTGGTGATTTTGTACACACTGCTGTAGCTTCAAGTGTTAAGTGAGGGATCTGCAAAGCTACACAGATTGCTGCTGCTTGTCTGTAATTCCTCACGTGGATTTTGGTTGAAGATAAGATAGTTGTATACTTGTTAGTTTTGTTCAAATACAGAGACGACAGACTCTCATAATCTAGACCCAAACCCCCTGTGGTACTTGGACATGCATACTAAAAGTGACAGTTTTTTACAATTACAATTGAAATACTTAAAATATCCTACAAGCAATAGAAGACTGTATAACAAAAATGATTTTAATCATAGAGAAGACTTATTAACTATACATTTACATTTGCATTTAGTGCACTTATTTCTTAACTACATAATAGAAATGAATGAAAAGCCTTTTTAATATTCCGTAAGCCTGTGTTTGTCATATTGAGTGATTTGAAAGGCTTTATACAGACGGGCGTTTTAGAGACCGGTGATCTACATGGAGACAATGTTGAGAATTGATAGTATGTTCATGAACACATCCCGGTGAAGTGGGCTGTTGTTCCACTCAGTCTGTGATCGGTTTGGCTCACCCTCAAAGCTGTCAAGTGTAATTAACAAACTAATATGCACGCTGAATTCCCACACACACACAAAAGGCCTGGGGATGACAGGGGGGGGGAGGAGGGAGGGTCATTATTTCAGTAATGAGGGAGGAGAGGGAGGAAACAGGGAAACTAGGGAAGTTGAAAGCAGGAAAGAAAAACATGATGGAAATAGCCCCTGAAATGAAATGTGTCTGTTACTCTGTGACTGATATGACCCGTCTCATTTGTGTTCGTCCTGTCCCACGTTGTTAATCAACACAGCTGCACTCAGGGTGACCATGAGGGAATCGAGTCTCAAGGTGGTTCAAGGGGATGTCGTGGTCCTGCCCTGCTCTTTCTTCACCTCCAGCCCCCTCTCCAGACTCAACGTCATCTGGACTCTGGCTCCCTTCTCCAGTCCTGAAACCCCAATACAGGTCTGTATCCTCCGCGCACAGACACCTCTGACAAGCTATCTCATGCAGCAGCCTGATATATACACTCAGGGCCATAAATATTTTGGACATTGACACAATTTTTCTAATTTTGCTTATTTACACAACTCCAATGGATTTGAAACTAATCAGTCAATATGTGGTTTAAAGTGTAGACTTTCAGCTTTAATTCAATGGATAAAACTGAAAAAATCACAATAACCATTTAGGAATTACAGACACTTTTACCCAGTTTACACAAATCCACATTTGGTAAAACACACCGTCCTGAAAAACGGAAACTGCTGCAATGTAAATAACGAGCGTTTGGTGAGAATGATTGTTTTCCTGAAAGTTATTTGTCTTCTTCTTTTTATGTATTTATTTTAATTCACTTCTACAACCTGGACTTCACTGCAGGTGTTGGTAAAACACATCTTTCCAAAGGGACACTTTAGTGATTCTGATGCAAACATCCTCATAATAACTTCTATGAAACACAAGGAGACTGTCCATATTTTCATGGTCTGACACTACTTATTAATGTCTGCTGTCACATCCAGGTGATTGTGTACGACCATGGACAGGTGATTGAAGACCCCTCATTCATTGGCAGGGTGGGTTTTACAGGTATGACCAGTGAAATCCAAATTAATGTTTTGTTTAGATATAATTCTTTGTATTTTTATAATTTCATTGAAATCTTTTCAAGATTGAGTTTAGATTTGAAACAAATCTTCCATGTAAACCAACTGCAGGTATTCCCTGGAGTGCAGATATTGTCGTGAATGACACGCGTGTGTCAGATGCTGGTACTTACCGCTGTATGGTCAATAACCCACCAGAGGCAGCAGATCCCGGCATAGGAGAGCTGGAGCTCAGTGTTCTGGGTAAGTGTTTCTGTGAGAGTAAGGTACTTCAATGGCACTTACACATTTGAAGCCATCACTGTTTAATATACTGTGAATTAGAGTCCAATACTATTTTAATGGAAAGGGAAAAACAATAAGCAGTACTGAAATATCAGTTCAAGTCTGATTTGCCTGTGAGCCCCAAAGTGGAACATTGAAACAGTGAAATTCTTGCATTTATTTGGAAGAATTCCAGTGCAGTTCAACCTTTTAGACACTCATCTACTTTCGTAGCGCCACCTTCGCTGCCTGTGTGCCAGTGGGATGGAGACGTCGATATGGGCGGAAGTGTCACTCTGTCCTGCTCGGTGGTGGAGGGCGTCCCCAGTCCAGAAATCCGCTGGGATAAACTGAATCCAGAAGAAATTGCACTTCCCATCAACATGGAGGGTCAGTGTTACACACACGCGCACAATCATAATCATCTTGTGTGGAGGTCATTCTTTTTTATTTTAGAGGCCTGTGAAGATCTTAAATATAGCAAAAATGTCAGGGAATTGTTAAGAAAATGATGTACGAGACGACTTGAATTAAATCGTGACTTATAGAAACCTATTTACCCCCTCCTTAACTTTTACACTATAAAACACAAATGTAACTTATTATTTCAAAGTGACAGTGTTCAAGAGACTGTTAAAGGGGCGATTTAGTAATATAGACACTATTTCAAGAAGAATGATTAAAATATACGCAGCAGAAGCTGCGCTAACCCGACTTTTATTGTATGGTTTAAATTTAAAAAAAAATGAAAAAGTAAAACTGGACCCTACAATTCCCATAATGCATATTTTTGTCTTTGAAATGCCCACTTCTTTCAAACCGCACAACTCCAGTTTGCACAGCAGTCTTTTAAAAATGGTTTAAGTCTCAAGCCCAAGCCAGGACAACCCTGATGACATCATTATGACGTCAAAATAAGTAATTTTCACCATTACGCTCATACTTTTAATCCTCTTGTCTTATTAGCTCACAGCTATTGATGTGACTGTCTCTCCTCTCTCTTAGGAGATCTGTCAGGCTCCGTCCAGATAGTCAACGTGTCCTCTCAGACGTCCGGCCTGTATCGTTGCTCTGCCAATAACCTCCTAGGAACAGAGAACTGCTACGTCAAGCTGTCCATTTACACAAGTGAGAGCCTCGTTGTTCACC